AAGTCTCCTACTTTATTTTTTTGAAACGAGATGTATGATAACTAAAGCAGAAAAACTTTTAGCACATCACAATCATTTGGTACGAGAATCAACTATAAACAGATATCTGATAATGTATACCATTAACACAGTACATTTTTATATAATCCGAATTGACTCATTGTTTGATGACCAAATATAATATCATAGAAGTGAAGTGAGGTGAAGCAGAGTTGGAATCCATGACTCATTGGATAAAAGACGAATACCTTCACCATTAGTCCACTGATTCCAACAGATAGAATGAATCTTACTTCATGTATAGTACGTGTATTGTCTCCTGACACAAATTATCCCCTTCAACTAAATGATAATAATTAGTTCATTAGTAACTTAAGATTTTCCCAAAGTTCTGGTAGGAAGTCGTGACTGGTAGAATTTAGAGATCTCAAATGTGAAACAGTTACCACCAATTACATTAAATGGTCATTGTACTATATCGCAAATTGATCGAAGTCGATATGACATGAATGAATGCCAACCTAGTAGTTTTAATAATCAAGAGTTAAATGCATAACATGAAAGATCCTGGGTCCATTTACTTTTTAATAACACCCAAATTGGGATCAATCCCTGACGAATACAACTTACAAGTCAAACTCATTTCCACAAAACAGAGTGTAATATGCATTTCATACTAAAATTATTTCTTAATGTGTATTTATGTTTTATCAATAGATGAAACAAAATAAATTGGATTTACATGAAGAGCTTAATGAATTCAATAATTTATCTACCATAAATATGACAACTACAAGTAATCCATTCGAAAATACCAATTGTATTACTCTAGCCAATATAAATACTACCATAAATAATAAACAATCATCAAATCTTATTTCAAATTTTACTTTATCAGATTATGGACAAGCTGTATTACATTCTCCACCACCACCACCAACGACGACGACAACAACAATAATGACAACCACAGCAACAACACTATACCCATCTTTTGATGATAGATTACATCATAAATCTCTTAGTAATCCTACAAATAATTTCCAAGATGAAACAATCTATCCATCGATAAAATTTTCTGTTTCAAATATTCTTAATAGACACTGAGAAATAGTACCATTAAAATAACAATTATAACTTGAATACACTTTTTTCTGAAACTCCTAATAATGAAAGACAATTATCAGTATAGGGGTTATGGAGATTATTAAGTTTTTGATTGAGATCATGAACCGATTGATGTTAGACTACTGTTGGAAACCTGGGACGCCGTTTCGTTCTATTTTGGGACTCCTCAGCAGTGCGCATCCACGATCCTGCTCGCGGGATTCGAACACAGGGCCTTCAGTCTCGCGCGCGAACGTTTGACATACTGGACCACTGAATCGGCATCCAATGGTGTTAGTGTTTAACATCAACAAATCCACGAAATTGCACGACCATCTTCCATTGTGCTGAGGTAGATACCTGTCTCTACTCGACACGGATTATACACAGAATATAAATTTAAGTATCAAGTAATATGGATAGATAACTTCAGTTGTTCAACAAAATGGGAACAGCAAAGTATTGTGATGAGTTTAGAACAGCTACGACAGTTTATCAGAGATTTTCTAGTTAATTAAAAAAACAGCTTTCATAGATGAAGAGTTTAGGAGAAATAAAGTAATAATATTGTAAAATGATAACAAATTATATAGAAGTAGCTAATCTGTTAATGTATTCTATAAGTTATTCTGCTTATAAATCGAAAGAATAACAATGTATAAACCTGTTCTAATGGATGAGCATTGTTTATATTCTCAAATCCTTAAGAATATACAAACACATTTTGACGAGTACCCACATAGTTACTAGTTACAGATAGGATTTTCATCACGAACTAACATGAGCTAAAATCTTACATTATTCCCAAGTCATTAATGAATAAAATTCATTGAAATGTATGAGAGGTGACATCTGATTAGTTTGTTGATAAAATTGAGGGCGATCAGGTTAAGGTTCTCTTCAGGATTAATTAAAGGTTTCGAGTTGATATTTAGGGATATTGTCAATTTGCTTGTTATGTACAATCTGTAGGAACAGAATTAGACACTTGATACATTAAACACTATCATCATTTGACTCTATGATGGTAGGAAATAATTGTTCGCTATCATTTCAAACGTTTTAATGAGTGTCCAAAAGAATGTTTAATGGTTGATGTATGTGGTGTGTTGAATTTCGCGCACCAAACTAAATGTTCGCTTCTCGATTCTGATTGATCCCTGAAGCATGCTTTTATCAATGAAGTAACAATGTTTTGTATCCAAACATTCGCAGTTCAAAATAACGTAGATACACTGTTCATAACTAGACTGTAAGTTAGTATATATCAAGCTCAACATTTTAAGGTAATACCAATCGATTTCTCTAACCAGGGAATTTGCATCTCCGAGCATGGTTCAGACCAGCAGTCAATAAATCCACGAACTAATCTATTCATATTTTTTCAATCTACTTGTATAACAGACAGTGTTGGTCATTTGGACAGATTGCGGCTGAATATGCATAACAAATATTAAAATTATGTAGGTCAGGGAAGGTTCATAGTTTCATCGATCAACAGAATATCTTTGCTCAGAAATATTAAGTTCCAAATTAAAAATAATACTTATAGTATACATTTCTTCCATACCATAAATATGACTCGTTATCGTGTGCACTAACTGACTAAATGAAGATCTTATCAACCGGTTCCATAAAATATATTACCTGTTTACAAGTTATCGTTTAATTATAAATCAACAAGATAATCACATTTACAATTGAATGATCACTGGATGGTGATCAATGTCATGTAAGTCAAGTCCTTCTTAGTGTAGATTGAATCCTATCGACTAAGCTGCAATGTGGTCACTAGTCTAGGTGACTCGACACTGCGTGCACTACGTTGAGATCAGATGGTAGTTGGAAGTAGCCGACAGGAAACTACATTGCAACTTGTTCAATAGGATTTGATCTGCACTAAGAAAGACCTGACATATATACATACCACCCAGTGGTTAATCAATTGTAAACAGATCTCAGTCCTGCAGGTCAGTTGCAGCCCAGACAGCTCTGTGGTAACGTCTCTGACTTTGAAACTGGATGACACGGGAACGGATCCGTCAGGGAGCATCAGTTCCCTCAAAATTACAAGTACACCTTGCTGACGACTGCTAAGTAGCACGAAACCTAGGTTCAGGGTTCCCTGTTGACTACCTCCACCAGGTTTCTATTAAATGAGAATCATTGAACTCAGTTGAAATACAATATGTTTATTTACATAGCTAATTATTTTCAATTACAACTTCTATACATGATGAACAAGACTGATCCTATCTCTCCCATCATTGTTTGTTAATTAGAGTAAGACATTCAAGTTTATATAAAAGCTTTTTTTGATAAAAATTTTAGAAGAATTGAATTATATTCAAGTTAGTTCAATTATATATCCATTATACAATGGTTATCGATTACAGAACTGGGCAACTAATATACAGTACGAATTCACAATGAATTAATTAATACAAGGCAAAAACGCATTGAAAAGTAAATAATTACAACTGAAAAATACACATGTTGTTAATGAACAGAATTTAATGTGAATAAATTAATACGACGAAATCGCGTTGACAGCTGACTGTACAGAAATCACCTTAAAAACAATATGTGAATCTTAATATTGATTTTCTTTTTCATCTGTTGTATTTGAGAATTTCACCTCCACAACAAATGTGATGAATGGGTCCAACGTAATAACTAGTCTATAGTGTATACGTAGATGGTTTATGGTTATTAACTCATATCAGTGACAAAATCCCAGATGGATTATAGAAGTCCTAGTACGAACTAGTAACAGATAGAATCCGAACATACCGGAAGTGATACATGTATCATTGGTGAAGTCGGATGATCGTTGTGATAAAATTGAGGATGTTGCTATGTTTGAAAAGATTACGAGTTTACCTAATCTGAAAACAGAACGAAGACTCTGTGATACAATGATAGATAAGCTAGCTATTCCGACACGTCTCAGTCCCGCTAACTAGAGGGAAAAATTCAAGTTCGGAAGAAGGAAATACATTCCACAAGCAACAACAACAAACACAAATCAAGCGTATATATACAGCATATGAATGTCTTTGGGATGCGTTAGAAAATAGCATAATAAAAGACACAACGAACCAATAGCGTTTAAAATCCTCCCAAGTAGGAAATACGACATGAAGGTAAGAATAAGCGCTTTTGGCGCAAAAACAAGAAATTCAAATTTTTAAAATGGAATTACAAAAATTGGATATTAACTAAATGAGCTCTGCGGATCTAACACCCCCAACAGATGAGAATTACAACACATCATTTAACCTTAGTTATTCTGACAGTCATTCAACCTGGAGGTCCTGATTTCTATTCCAAGTAATTTAGTAAGGTGTTTATAGATGAGAAACTTAAAGTTAGAAAGGAATATATACAGAGCTACAGCTTAATTTAGCTGGTTTTCTAGATGACATTAAGGTGTAAGAATGACTATCTTAAAATGAATTTTCCAAATTCAATATTAAGAATTCCAAAACTTACATGTATTATGATAAGACTGACAATACCGTTCAATCATTTAGGTTGAAGACAATATTATTGTAGATGAAGTGGTCAACTAAAACGTTAATATCAGAAGGGGTTTTGTGGAGATTTTAGTAATTTCACTAGTTGAAATCATGAGTCAATTAAAGCTAGACCACCATGGAAAACATGGGAGCACTGGACGGCCGTTTCATTCTAGTATGAGACTCCTCAGCAGTGCCCATCTACGATAGTACTCTAATGTATATAGTTCATTGAATTAATCAACCCCTTTGATTATGAAAAACAAATATAATGTGTAGACATAATGTTCAATAATTTACAAACTTGTATGACAAACAATTTGATAGAAATAATTGAACACATAATACTATTTACATAAGTTATTGATAATTTTAGGGTGAATTTACATATGGTGGTACAAGTTTTTCTGTATAATGCTCTATAACTGTATCACATAGTTGATCTGCTATTTCTAAACTGATTCCAACCATATCTTCTCTCCAAGATGAACTTTCCATTCGGCGTATATCACGAATTAAATAACTGGATTAAAACAAAGTAGAAGATTATTTGCTGATATTTACAAATTTCTTGAAACAACACCACACAATATTAATTAAATAATTTGAGGAAGCAGTTATATAGATGTTTCATTTTAAGTACACGCTTACTTACCTACGCCTGTTACTCATCGTGGATGAACACAGACCGTTCACCAGCATTCTGAATCCATTTTAAGTAACAGTTACTTTATAAAAGAGAATGTTGATTTTTATATCGTTCGGATAAATATATGGAAATGTGTTACGAGTAATTGATGGTTTCAAGCAATCACAGGAATTGCATTATCTTATTTTCTAAATATCGATGGTAAATGTTTCACTTTACACTTTACTAGGTTGTCACAACACACCACTGGAGAGGGAGCGTTGATAAAAGTCTAGGTTACAATATAGGAATTATAGCCATTGAAGTATACTGTATTTCATAAACTCGTCTTTAATGTTCCAAATTACAGAGAATCCATCCCCTAATTTCTGGTTATAAAAGTATATTTTATGTCTCTTTATACAGGAATAATATCGTATCAGTATTGCGTTGAGTAGATGCTGGTCAATAGCTGCTGGTTTTGCTGGGATAGATGACTCGATCAAAGTAAAAAGTGAACACCAAAGAAAACAATGTTGACAATCGATTAGATCTTAGATACAATCAATGATATATACCCGAAATGGACATAAACAAACATACTTGATGCTATGGTGTTGTTCCGAAATTTAAATGTTTAGATTGTATTTCCAGGCATAAAAGATAAGCGTCTGCGTGATCAACCAGGAATATCGGTGAAATGGGAATTGTCTTTTGTACAGTTATGCAAATCAACCTCTCAGTCAGTCGGAACGTAGAACCTTGTACGTATGTACATCCTTTTAACCTCTAGATGACTCACATTCATTATCAAAAGTCAGTGTCTATTTGCTACTCAGCAACTCTGTGTTAACTTAAGCATGAATTTGAGTACATAACATAAAAACCAGATGCTAATACTCAAAACATCTAAAAAATCGATTTCGCATGAACGTTTAACATATATATCACGGCCGAAGAGTCTCGTACTAGGACAAAACAGCCGTATAGTGCTCTCAAGTTTTCAGTGGTGGTCTAGCTAAGATCGACTCATGAACTCGGCTGTTACAATAAATAATATTCGTTTGAAAATGATGTATGGTGTATGACTCCATAGATTCGGATTCATAACTACTAAATTTTCTGAAATACTTTAGGTGGTGACTGTAGATTTTAATTAGCCATAATACAAATATAAGTAACAAAATAAGATGTAATATACGTTAAGTTCAAAATTACCTATCATTTTGACGCCATTGTAATCGAGTATCATACACTCGTATTAGTCCGCCATCAATACGTAAGAAAAAACGTTGTAACAAAAAGAAACCAGAAGACATTGCACGAAACTTTATATTCAGAATAGATACACCATTATCACCTAGTTCATCTTCATATAGCGTTGTATTGACAAAAAAGCGAATAGGATCTTTCCGACGTAAATACTCCATATCTAAACCCTCGGAAGTTGGAGATATACTCCAGGGACCTATAATGAAAGTAATTTAACAATCACGAAATCATTGTCAATCTATTTAAACTGAGTGCACATTGTCATATAACTAAATGGAATACTATCATGCTATTGATTACAATCCTATAAGTTGATATACTTGGGTGAAAAATGTAAAACCTCATCAGTCACATCGGAATTGTTTGGTGAATAACACAAATTAGGACTTGGAAAACACCATGAGTTATCTTCAAATTTACGTAACATGCAAGAATTAAGCCCGACAGTAAGATCATAATTTTATTAAGCAGAGTGACAGTCTATACATATCCTTCGATTATTTATTTGCTAAACGAAATATCATTACGTTTATCCTTGTATATAATATTTCATAAACGACCATGTTTTACAGATAAAAGAACTGTTCCTACTGGCTAACATTCTTGTCTTTTAATAACCATTTACTTGAGAGAGGTCGCACCAATAATTTGGCCTCACGAACAGTTATCGTTTGAACACGTGGTGTCATCTGTCAGTCAAAATTTTAATAATTTGTTTTAGCAACCCCAAAACGTGCTCGTTATTCACGAAACGTGCGAAAAAATTGCGTAGAAGGGTGACGACACGGATGCTATGACGGAGAAGAGTATATAAACGTAAACAAAACTCACCAGACAAAGTGCCTGTATACGGAGTAGTGAAAGTCCAGTCATATGGTTTATGTGGCAGTATGTCTTCTTGATTATTAATTCGAGAATCTCTCCAGTCCTTTGCAAATGGTACCTTCGGTGTGTTGAGATTAGTATTAAGTAACTCACCTCTATAGTTATATTCTTTGGGTCGACTAATTTAAGAGCATCAAGTGCATTAAATTCAATTTTGCATAGTTGTTCATTATTTGGTTGACAGAAACAAATTGACAAGGAATTTTGATCGAATATCATTTCAGGAATCGTTGGAAGTTCTAAACTTCTTTCAAACGCCTCTCTTTCTTCGCCAAGAGATTTTAAAATATGATGTTCTTTGAGAATAATTAACCAGTCATCTAAACGGTGCTGGGAAGACTTGACACAAGCTTGTTCCATTAGGGTTTGACAAAATAATCCTATCAAATAGGTTCTGAACAATACAGGATTAGTCAAGCCCGGTATAAAATAAGTACAAGAGTAACACGATCAATATCTACAAGATATACAAAGAAATTATTTAGAAAGTTACGAATTGTAAGAAACACAAACATACTTATCTTAATGTATCACTATAATAAAGTTATTACGTCAGAACCAGGTATTGCAATAAATAGGAGTAACAAAACATACACAAGAACTTGTATAACACCAACACCCGATAACAATATATAGTTTACCAATGTTACAAAAATTTTGGTATATTACATCAAAAAAGTATATTAAACAATGTGGGATGGTAGTATTGTGAAAGACAGAGTTACAAAATCAATGAATAAGTAGGTATAAATGGTAGCTAGTGAGAGATGCACTTCAATTGGGAGACTGATTCAACTTTTACGAAGAACATAGTAAAATACAACTGCAAGATTCTAGCATGCTTGTATTTTATGTCATCCCTGTTAACATTCAACACTACTGAGATGCAAAATTAAAAAAACCAAACCAGAAAGTAGTGATGAATCTATATATGCCAGTTTTATACAGCTATTGCCCAGAACACTAAATGTTATCAACAATTCTCCCACTTCGAACCAAACAAAATATAAATACTTTGGGAATTTCAAAACTAGTTTGCGATGAATATGAAATCACTTAAACTCCTACCAAGGTTATATCGATGATGATGTTACTTTTCAACGCTTGTATCAGCCGAAATCAAAATAGAACTTAAGATAAAAATGTATTAGTATATGTTCACAAACTATATCGATACAGTGAAGAGGAATCAACAAGATAAACAAAAGAGTCAAAATAGTAACCCCATTGACCATACCTACTCACTTTAATAGCTCGTTTACTAGGTATTTAGGTGTGTTACTCTTTAAGTGTAAGGGCTGGTAACACATGGTTACTAAAACAGAAGTACGTGAAACGGGGTTCGAACCTCTGATTTAGGAGGGGAGCATTAGACGTCCTAATCACTAAGCCGCTGGTCCACTGGAACTTGAGGAAATGTTTTTCATTTATTCATCCCATGAAGATTGATTATTATCCACAATTGTAACATACTTGTAAAGAATAAGTTCTAAAATGTACGAATATATTTGTGGAATAGAAGGTATGAAACAACGAAACCCAGAAAATAAGGAATGGATGCATCTGAGTCACTTTACTGCGAGTCCAATTATTGATCAAAACTACTGGCAAGACTCCGCCTTCTTAAAAACAGGGAGATGAGTTCCCGGATATTTGTCATTTCAAAACAGACAACGAAAATAAATGTTTTCCCCAGATTTTTTAAAGCCACACTAGTATATCCGAAACCATGATGAGTAGACAGTTCATTTTGTATTTAAAAACTGTTATTTCATAGAAATGAATACTGGAATAAAGTTACTCCAGGTCTTTATCAGACTTGCAAACTATATACCACATTCTAATACTGCTTGGTCTACTTTCTTTATACGAGCGTCGCCAATTACAATGGTTAGTAGTCAGATAATAAAACTTAGAATTACAGGTAACCGATTTCCTTCATAAAAAAGTGACTTTAGTTTATATGTAAAATATCATCCGCTTAGATTTAAAAAAGCATACAAAAAAATTACTAAGCTGCCAAATATTATGGTCGAGATAATGATTTCTTAGGATGTCCTAGTCATTCGAAATTACAACCTGTTATATTGAACCATACGCCTGACGCAGATAAAACCAACCGTGAAAGACTCGATTCACTTGATGCACAAAGGAAAATATCAACAAGGGTAATCAACAAATCGAATATATTTGATTTAGTGACTATAAGTAGGATTTGTTCACGAAGGATGCTTAAAGCACCTCACGCCGACCAGAGAGTCGTTTGGGTCGACGTGAAATTAAAACGACAGTTAGTGTAAGGAATATAACATCAAATCTGAAGGATAATCATAATAATACAAAGCTTCAGATAAGTCAAGTTGTCAGCGATTCACCGACTAATAGGTACTATGATGATGTGCAGGTACTGAAACCAACCGTCACATCCATGTACATCTTAAAAACACAGTAATCTTATAACCCTAGACCACAACTTGGTGTTTATCACAGAAGTTATGGAAGATGTGTCCAATAACGCAAGAAACCGCCTGTTGAATTCTGAAGCATTGACAAGGGAACTGATAAACATTCACTTGTAGGAGACAAGGTATTAAAGTTACTCTAATCCAAGCCTTGTATGTGTATGTATGCCAACTTCTACAATGAAACATTCCTGTAATGACCAGTTAGTTACATGTGCCAAGGTCACATCCAGCTAATCAAATTAGGCGGTATATTTTTACTATGAAAATTAGGTTGACCTGACTATTCTAAATGCCCATTACAATATTGTCATTTTGGCCAAAACATCAAACTCTGCCGAGAGGGATCGTCAGATTATTGATTCCTTGTGATATGTATTTCTATAGTATGGAAGTGTTCTATTCGATGTATTCCTTATTGAAACTGCATGATCAAAAGCAGATTAGGCAATAGTAGAAGCGACCGTGGATTGATGCAGAATAACCACTCACAACCTATATACAATCAGAGTATAAGCCAATCTGTCGTTTAAAAGAAACATCGTCGGCTGTTATTTCTATCGTCACTGGTCGGGAGTTTCTTAGTGCACTGTTACTAACCACAAACGTTTGCTCGAGTTTTGGTGCAGGCTTTTTCATTTTATACCCTTAATGAGTTGAAACTTAATAAGGGCTTGTCACTGAAAACTAGTAGTGTTATACTGCAATAAAGCAGGTCATGTACCATATGATACATCTGGATTATATTCCACCAATCCCACTGCACTTCATTGGTTATAAACAGAGGACTTCCAGAAAAGCTAAATTCACTTTGTTTTTTGGTCAGAAGCACCAGCTTGAACGTGCCAGGAGGTTATGGGTCGTAGGAAGCACCAACAGCCAGAGAAATGCGGAGATATCTATGGCATATACCGAATACACTTAAGTAAACAAGATAGTGAAAAGCAGAATTAAAGTTGTCAAGGAGAAATACATGGAAAATACCGCAATGCTAGCGGATGAATCTGAAAACGAGTCGAATCCGTGAAGAGTTCATGTTGCAACAAACAAACTAGCAGAGAAATATAACAAACTTGATAAATAACTTAAAGATAAACAAGAAAAGCCAATCACTGAGATAGGAGAAAAATGGAACAGATTGATTGAACTCTCCGAGGAACTCTTGAAAAGACCAGACACATTGAACCCGCAAGACACTGAAACAGCACCTACAAATAGATATCAACCACCAATTAACGAAGAGATCAGGATGGCCATCAAAACAAATCAACAGTGGGAAATCGGTAGCACCAGACAATATATCAGGTGAATCACGAAATTAGGGCATAGAAGTAACTGAAAACGTGCTCCACGCTATATTCAGGAAGATTTTGGAGGATAAACAAGTGCCACTGATCGACTAGAAACAAGGATACCTCATTAAGATGGTGGTCGGAGGTATTCAACAGGAAGCCCTGGACCCGGGTTTCGTGCTGCTTGGCACTCGTCAGCGAGGTGTACCTGTAATCTTGAGGCAACTAGTGCTCCCTAGCGGATTCAATCTCGTGTCATCCAACTTCACAGTCAGAGAAGTTAACACTGAGCTATGCAAGCCTCATGAAGATACCAAGGAAAGAAGATCTGAGCAGTTGTGAAAACCACAGAAGCACCACACTACTATCGGCAACAGGAAAAAATTTCAACACAGTGCTTTTGAACATAATGGAACATTTGGTAAACTACCAACTCCGCAATCAACAGACCGGATTATGTGAGAATCGATTGTGTATCGCCCAAACCGCAAAACTACGGATCATTGTTGTGAAATCAATTTAATGCATTTCGTCACCATACATCAACTTCATTGACTATGAGAAAGCGTTTGACAATGTGGATAGGAGAACGTTATGAAACCTTCTTCGACACAATGGAGTGAGTAACTGATAAGATCTTCAACACTATAAGGAATGTATAAGACGGAGTACACTGCGAAGTCATGCATTGAGGACATCTGACAGATGCAGTGCAAGTGTGAACCCTTGTCATGCAACGCTGCTTACTCTCATCTTTTCTATTTTTTCTGGTGGTTGAATGGATTATGAAGACCTCAAGAATTGAGGTATGGCTTGGAATACAATGAACAGCTTGAATGGTGAATGATGGCTTTGACTTTGCAGATGACCCAGATCTTTTATTTCATGCACAAAAACAAATTTAGATGAAGACCACTGATGTAGCAGCAGTCTCTACGTCCGTAGGCCTCAATATACACGAGAGATAAGGAAAGATCCTCGAATACAACATGGAGAGTACCAACCCAACCACACTTGATGTCGAAACTTTGGAAGAGGTGGAAGCTCCCATGTACCTAGTCAGCGTAGTTGACGAAGAAACACGATCTGATACGGGTGTGAAGGCCTTGGTTGCCAAACCAAGGACATCATTCCTATAGTTGAAGAGCATATACTACTCGAAACAACTGTCTGCTAGCCAACAACGATGTTAGAATTTTCGATACGAGCATCAAAACAGTTTTACCGTACGGATTTGAAACTTGGAGAAATACATGGGTCGTTAAAATTGTACAAGTATTATTCAACAGTCATCTACTCAAGATACTGAATGTCCGTTGGTCGGATGCCATCAGTAACAACCTTCTATTGAGGAGAACAAGCTAGTTTTCAATTGAAGAGGAATTTAGGAAAAGTTGCCAAAGATGAGTATGGCATATATTGAGGAAATCATCAAATTGTCCAAGGAGGCAATCCCTGACTTGGAATTGTGATTGGTAAAGGCTAAAAGGAACGCATTGCGTCGGTAATCGGAGGCGGAAATCAAAAGGGTGAATAGCAACAGGGAAAAACTGGAGATAGGAGTTCAGGACAGAAGTGGTTGGATAATGCTCGTGGCAGGCCAATG